CCTACGATCCAGCCATCACACTACTGGGTATTTACCTTAAAGATAATAGATGTAGTGATCTGAAGGGGCACGTGCACCCAAATGTCTATAGCAGCAATGTCCACAATAGCCACACTATGGAAAGAGCCTAGATGTCCATCAACAGATGAAGGGATAAAGAAGATGTGGTATATATACACAATGGAATACTATGCAGTCATCAAAAGAAATGAAATCTTGCCATTTGGAACGATGTGGATGGAACTAGAGGGTATTATGCTGAGCAAAATAAGTCAATCAGAGAAAGATAATTATTATATGATCTCTCTGATATGAGGAATTTGAGAGGGCAGGGGGTTGTGGGAGGTAAGGAGGGAAGAAATGAAATAAGATGGAACCAGCGAGGGAGACAAACCAGAAGAGACTCTTAATCTCACAAAACAAACTGAGGGTTGCTGGGGGGTGGGGAGTAGGGATGGGGTGACTGGGTGACGGACACTGGGGAGGGTCTGTGCTGTGGTGAGTGCTGTGAAGTGTGTTGTCTGTTGATTCACAGATCCGTACCCCTGGGGCGAAGAATACATTGTGTGTTAACTGAAGAAAAAGAAAAAGTAATCCAGAGAATATATACAAGTAAAAAGAAAAACGTCTGAACCTTGAGATGAGGAGTTACGGATTAGCCTTGATTGAGGCTGTGGGGTGGAGAGAGGAGGGTGTTCTCGGGAGCTGATTCCGCCGTTGCTAACTAGAGCTGCTCAGGAATGAGGAACCATGTTCTCTGGTTAGGACCTGAGCTTCAGGAAGGGAGGGACGATGCGCCCTGGAGAAAGTGACCCGTAAGCTCTCAGATGTCAAGTTTGGAAGAAAACTGAAATGTTGTCTGTGGACTCTGAGAATAACATTTTTTTCCTATCAAAACACAACTCGGAGTGAATCTGATGAGAGGCCACGGGTCTGGAGAAGAACCACGCATGGAAAAGGCAGTCGTGCTCGATCCACCACCGTCGGTTCCCAGGACCAGGCCGCGGCCGCCCACCCAGGCTGACGGGACGGTCTGCGCGCGGCCGGCCGCGGCCACAGGGGCTTGCAGACCGGGGCCTCGGTACCCGCAGGCTCTGAAGGGGGTCCCTTCGGTGACACGGGTCTGTGGCTTGCGGGTGGCGGCGCTGCGCCCTCGCATCCTCACCCGTAAGTACGTGCGTGTGAACCTGCGCTCGTCTCCCGCGGGTGCGGCCGGACCCGCGGCAGCGCGTCGGGGCGCCGGAGAGCAGCCGCTGCCAGGGCCCCGCCGGGACACACGCCCGGGAGCAGCCCCGCCGCCCGACGTGAGGGCAGCGCCTCGGTCCCCACCAGGCGACAGCCTGGTCCTCCCCCTGCGCGGCGGGGCCGTGTCGCCCCCGCGAGTGCTGCAGACGCGGGGCCGACAGACGGCGGGTCAGCGAGTTCGCAGCCGTCGGCCCGGAGCCGCGGGCGGCCGCTTCCGCGGGGGAAGGCGCGGGGAGCACCGTGAGGGCCGCCGGAGGGGCCGAGCGAACGGCGGCGGCAGGAGGCCCTGGGCACCGCCGAAGCGTCGCCCTCACGGGCCGGTCCACGCCGCGGCGGCGCCCGGTTCCCCTTCCCGAGAGCTCCGCTTCCTTGCACAGCCCCGGTGGCCCTCGGCTCTAGCGCCCTGCGGCCAGAGCCACAGCCGGCGGCCGCCAAGCCGCGTCTCCCAGGAGGCCTGGCTCGGGGTCGGCCGCCGCGCCTTCCTGAGTGACTCCCTCGGCGTGGCCAGCGGCTTCTGCCGGCGTCAGGGACACATCGCTGCGCGGCGCTGGGCAGGGGCGGGGCCGCCCGGCCGCAGGGACCGGCGCTCGGGCGACGGAGGACAAGTGGCCCACCTTCCGCCTCAGGACTCGGTTCCACATGCGGGTTGCAGGCTCGTTCGGCTCCGCAGGCCTCCGCAACTGGCGGGCGCTCGCAGGAGAAGCTGAACGGCCACTTCTAACGGCCGAGCGAGGAGGCCGGCCGGCGGGGCGGGAGGGTGACACGGACGCAGGTGACCACGGACGTCGGGGGCAGCGTGAGAGAGCCGCCGGCATCTTGGACGTAGAGACCTGCGCGTCCTCTGGGCCTCGGCTCTCGGCAGCACAGGTGAAGGCCAGGCGATGTCTGGGACCGGGATGCAGACCACAGACGCCACAGAAAACGGGACTCCGGCAAGATTAGGTGTTGCCCTTCTGCCGCCCTTACCCCCACTCACCCCCGCCTCGGCTGCTGGACAATTTTTCCAACACGAGGGAGACTGTTTCTTACCTGCCTTATCGCCAAAAGCCGTGGCCCTAAGTCCACTCCCTCTTGCTGCCCTGCTTGGCCGGAAGCCAGTAACTGGGTGACCACTAGAGGGGCCGATGCTCCTGTCCGTCGTGGAGAGAGCGGTCCCCACAGTGCCGGGATGTGCAGCTCCCCCAGCTCCCCCTCCTCTGCGCCCCCCGGAGACTATCCACGTTGACCGTCTCCGGCTTCTCTGCTCAACCAGCTCCAGCCACCCACTCTGCCTCCTGCCGGGCGACCACCCCAACGGCGATGACCTCGGGCGGAGTCAGCCTTTGACAGGCCTGTCGCTTAGCGAGGAGGCTGGGTCTACCCTCAAGCTGGGAAGGTCGCAGGGGACGGTCAGCTCTGTGTGGTCACAGCCAGTGCCAAGCCCGGACGTATACTACCTCGCTTTTTCCTCACAGAATTAGGAAGGGAATCATCGCTCATTCAACAAATGCTCCCGAGGGCCGACGAAGCGCTTGGCACGAGTGAAGGGCTGGACCATATCCGCACAAAGGTCTTTGCCTGCACAGAGCTTACACTCTCGCGCAGGGGTGGGAGAGTGTGATTTTAAAAAAACAAAACAAAAAACTTTTAGAGCAAGTAAGTGAATCATATTTCCTGTTTGTGCCTGCCCTTCGGAATCATTTCTGCAAATACTCATTCCATAATTATCCAGCGGACACTACATTCCGAGCATGACACACGGCACTGGGGATGCAGGGTCGCCGTGTGCCCGATGCTCCCGGTCTACAGCCAGTCCAAGGCGGTGCTCTAAGCGCTGTCGGGCATCCACAAGGGGCAGAAGGCAGGGCCCACACCCAGTCCTCCCCTGCCCTTACACCGTGCCCCATGCCCCCGCAGCAGCTCAGGGCTGATCTCCGCATCCCTTCTCTCCGGAACTTGCTCCTCTGGACCACCCGGGGTACGGGGTACGGAGGCCCAGATGTTTTCCTCTGGAGCCTAAGGGGGATGTCTTGCTAATGGGGTGATGGACTATTAGTCTGTTGCTTACTCTCACTCTTCGGAAAATTCGTTTTCATTTTAACTGGCTCTCCCTGCCTCTCCACGAGGGAGGCGGGTTCCCCCCGGGGGTGGAGGGCGGGGGAGGGGCTTCCCAGGAAGATCGGGGAAAGCCGTGCTTCTCTGGGCAGCCTGCAGGCTCCAACCGTCTCCCCACTCAGTGGGGTCCAGGCATCTTACGGACCTTCTCCCCGTCTTTGAAAGCAGTTCTGGGCATCTGGACTGCCTCTTGCAAAAGCACCTTTGGCGTCAAGGAAGTTTTAGGGCTCAAACAACCTCAAAGGCCTTTTGGCGGCCTTCAGGGAGTTCGAGGGCTCCTGGAGATTCTGTGTAACTTTCTGGTCTGAATACAGTGACATGCATTTTCTTTTTCCAGAGGCCAAGACATACAGCTTTCATCGGATTCTCAAAAGTCTCAGAGACCCAGCAAAGGTGGCCGTCTTCCAAGGGATGGACTTGAGGCCCAAAGAGAAGAGAGGTGACGTTCTAGCACAGTTACAGCCAGAGAGGAGGGGGGAAGGGGGAGGGCAGCGGTGGGGAGGGGTCAATACCGAGACGGGAGCTCAAGCTCCTTGTTGCCCCTTCCATCAGTGTTTCTGCCACCCCACCCCAGCACGTGCAAGCTTCAGGTCTTTGCTTCAGGACCTGTCCCGGTCCTGACATCCTCGCCACGCCTGCTCCCCTGTCGTGGTGGGGTGAGGACTGCTTGATGGCGGCGGCTTTGGAGAGCAGGTGTAAGGCCTTGCTCTGTCCTACAGCTACTGGTGTCGGGGGCTTCGAGCTCTGCGTTTACTGTTTCTCGTTATTTTGAACAGAAAACTCTTAGCTTTTGGAGTTGCCCGCGCTGAGTGTCAGGGCGCCCTGCTCGGGCAGCTTGCGGTCACGCTGTCTGGTGGCAGGAGAAAGCGTGGCCCGCGAGGCTGTCCTCTCCAGCACCACACCACAGAGAGCCCAGTCCCTGGAGGGAGCCAGACTGCAAACGTGGACACTTTGGGACCCCTTGGTCCAAGGCAGAAATGCCCGGCTTGTGTTCAGACTGAAGAACTTGGGACGAGCTGTGTTGTCGACCCCCGCTGGAAGTTTCCCGCTAAAGAAATATGTTCACACCCCCCCAGTCAGTTTGAAGCCTGGTCAGCGGATGTCTGGCCTCAGCCCAGGGAGCACAAAAGGGGCAAAATTATACAGGCTGGAATTACGAATGGATCTAGAAAACACTAGCCTTTCTCTCAGGTTTGTAATTATAGACTATGTTTGCTGCTCTGACCTGTGACAAGGGAAAAATCAGCTCCCGGACAGGTCCAGCAGCCAAGGCTGCGATGAGACGTTATTGTGGGAGAAGGAGAGAGCACTGCCTAGGGAGTCAGCACATCCCAGCTGCAGGGGTGACCCCCATGGAATGCTGTGTAACTCTGGACGAGTGACCTCTTTGTTCTATGGGTTTGTTGGGGTCTTTCCTGCCAAAAGAGGGGTGTAGAGGCATCGGCTGATGAGCCGGGAGGTCCCTCCCAGTGGAAACGTTATTCTAGCCTTTCCGTGAATGCTGAGCATTCATTTCCTTCCACTGCTGCCCGCTGCCTTCCAAGCTCCTTCATGACAGCCCAGGCTTGTCTGACATCAGAAACAGGGACCGGACCGTGCCCTCCCAAGCTCCCCTGCAGCCCCAGGAGTCTCCAGGCATTACGCTCGGCGGCCAGGCTTACCAGCAGGAGTAGGGACATCTCTTGCTGTAGCGACAGCAGTAAAACTGCCACTCCCGGTCCAGCACAGACTCAAAATAGCGGCTCTGGAAGCCGGCCACCAGCCCATTGTTGGAGCATGTCTGGTACCTGGAGAGAAGGAACAAGTGAGCGAATGGCAAGGACACCACGACCCCAGCTCCCCCAGCTCCCGCAGCTCCCGAGCCAGCCCACACTTCGACGATTCCTGGCAGTTCGTGCCTCTGTTTTTGGCGGGGTGGGGGTGGGGGCAGAGGGAGAGAGAATCTTAAGCAGGCTCCACACCCAGCGGGCAGCCCGACACGGGGCGCAGTCTCGGGACCCTGAGAGCATGACTGGAGTCAAAATCAAGGGTCGGATGCTTAAGCGACCAGGCCACGCAGGTGCCCCAGTTTTTCCACTGTAATGCAGATGATAAAGACTTTGCTGTACTTGTAGAAATAACATATGGTCACCATTACAACTCAGATGACTCAGAGTATTTCCACTGAAGACGACGGGGGAGCCTGGCTCCTGAGAGACGTCGATGAACTTACACTTACAAGAATGCATGCACAGACGGACAGAGAAGCATCTTTTACAAAATAACACAACGTTATTCCTGCCACTTGAAACAGAAAACCCTTTATTTTACTTGAGTTTAAAATAAGAAGACGACAAAGAGAAACAATGAATCGATGAACTTTAAACAACGTTTCTCTTGCTCAAGGCAGAGCCCAGTTTGCACGGGACACTCATTCACTCAAGCCCTTGTACCCCCAAAGCCCAGGTGGGCACAGACGGCATAGATGGCATGTTGTATGGGGCACCCGTGGGAAGCTGGACCACATGCCCGGGTTCTCAGCACTTAGCGGGGTCTTCTTCCCACCCGCTAGACTGTATGTCGTCAGGGTGGGCTGGTTTGGAGTTATCCCCAGTGCCCACGGCACACTCCTTCCAGGGTGGTGACCGGCCAACTGACTGCCTCAGGTTCCCTGTAGGGACTTTTTTCCTGTCTTAGATGCTCTGTTCTATTTCTTCAAAGAAGGCAAACGCTCCTCTCTGGTCCACAGACCCTCCCTCTTTCTTTCTAGCTGGTCTGCTGAGGCCTCTGGGCGTTGGCCCTGTCATCGTCACGGCACCTTCCTAACTAAGTTTGGCTGTGGACACTACGACCATTTCTTCCCTTGTCCCTCCTCCACGACTGCTTTCTCCCGGCTCTGGCCCAAATCTCACCAGTGCCCGAAGGCTGCCACTTTCTGTTGGATAATGGGGATGCTGTGTCCACCCTGCCTTGTGGGGGGTGGGATCTCTCACAAGTCCTTCTGAAACCAGCCCTCAGCTCCATCAGGTTCTCTGTGTTTCCCACCTCCCAGCCACTGGTCAAGCTCGCGCTCACGAGCAGAGCAGGACGGTGTCTACGTGTCATGGCGTGACGGTTCCGGAACACAGCCCCATTTCCCAAGTACAGATAAGTTCCCAGTAAATACAGCAGATAAATTAAGAATAAGGAAACTGGATTGTTGTCTCTCTCCTGCTGATCGGAGAGAGGGACCTTGCAGAGACACAAACTATAAAACCAGTGATGGTTTCTTTGTAATTGCTGGAAACGACCGCGTGGATTTGACGAAACTGGTATTAAATATACTTCCTGTCTCTGAGCAGAAGGCATCTGACCTTTTCATCCATTTATTATGCATTTACTCATTCATGCATAGCTACACTCAAATATGCACGTATTTGTCCATCCGCTCCACACACTTTACCCGGCTGCCCTTCTGCACCAGTCACCACACGACCGTGTTGAAGGCACCGAGGAGTAGCTTGGTGTTGGGCAGCCTCGCGTCTCAGCCGGACTTGCCTGTCCCTGGGATGTGTTAGAGGTTCTGGCGGACCCCAGACACAGGGATGGGAGATCAGGAATGCGGGTTAAACTGTGCGTTGAGACCCGAGCCCCTGACCCACTAACCTTCTTTGCTCTAACATTGCTCACGGCTCATCGGAAGTCGTGCCACTTTGGAAAACACCTGCCCCACTTGGGACTGTGATTGGAAAGGATGCTCGGGTCTGGGGCAGTGTATAGTCCAAGACAGCCTGTCGCATCCTCCTTCTAGCAGTGCGAGTGAGAGCCGTTCAAGAGGGAGCACCGGAAGTTGTAAAGGGCTTCTGCCATCCTCCTTCTTACTATCACAACAATTCTGGTTTCCTCCAAAATAGCCCTTTCGAGACCGAGCCAGGCTGCGGTTTCCCTGTGGCTGTTGTTCCATTGTCTGGGTTTATCCTGTGGGGACAGTGTTCCCAGGGGGGTGAGTTCCCTTAAGTAAACATCAGTGTAGCAAGATAAGCTGAGCTGTTTCATGGGGTACAACCCCAGCTCCGTGAATTCCCGCTGGCTGTGAGCCAGGCAGCTGGCCCCTGACCCTGTGCGGGAGTGTGTGTGTCACTCCCGCGCACACCACCTTCGATGACGCTGCCCATGAAGACCAGAGAACCGGGCGGAGCTCCCCTCCTGCTCCTGTCCCGTGGCCTTCCCCTTCTGGGAGAGTGAGCGCGCACGGAGTTTGGTAAGGCATGTGGTCGACGCAGGAAGTCACTCCTTCCAGAACCGGACTTTTGCCGGGGCACCTTGTCACACTCGTGTGGGGATCAGTGAGCAGAAGGCTAAGAGCGTGGACGGTGCTGCTGGCCCAGGCTGCAGTCACCGCTGGCTGTCGTCTTGGGTGTAGGCTCTATACTCTGTACTGGCCTCAGTTTTCTCTTTCGTAGAATGGGCATAATAATAGCGCACAGTCGTTTAAGTTACTGAGACGACGCACATGGCTCCTGGCGCTCGATGTGGCATTTATTAGTGTCACCTGCTTTCATTTCGTCCACTCGACAGCCGCGACTGTGAAAGCTGGGCCAGAGCTGCCTGGTTCCACATCTCCAGTCGGAGCAAAGCTGGCGGACTCCAGTGTGGCCCTGAGCTGCTGATGGCCGGCACGAAGCTCCCGGAGGCGGGCTAGGGAGCTGCCGGCACACACGCCCGCGGCAGCGCGCATGTGTGAGTAGATGGTGAAGACCTTAAGAGGAAAGGCAGCTCCGTCCTCAGGTTGAACCCCCCTCGGTGCCCCGCACGGCAGCTCTAGCAGGTGTCTGACAGGAGAGTGGACGGACGGGGGCCTGGTCAGGCGTCTGCCGTCCCCAGGGGCACAGGTGACACGGGAGAGCCCCCACTCCGATCCAGAAAGGGCCCTGCCGCTCCCCCCAGGAGTTCCCAGGACGCAGAGTGACTGAAACTCTCCGCACATCACCTTCTCCCTCAGGAACCAAGCCTGCTCCATGCCTGTCCCTTCTGATCACCGTTTTGTAAAAGCTCCTTATTGGACCAGACTCGCTCGCGCACGTGGCCCCAAGCGGCAGGACCGCAGCCAAGGGGGCCGGCAGGAGCGAAGAGGGTGAGGGCGGCCGTGAGCAGGAGGGCCGTGGGGCCGCAGCGGGGGCCGGCATCGGTGAAGCGACTCAGACTCCGTTTTTAAGAAGGGGCGGGTGGCGAGCCATGGCACTGGTGCCCGCAGAACCGAGTCCGGGCGCCGACTCCCTGGGCCGCTGCGCCCCGGCCGAGCGCAGACGCTCCCCGCCCTTCGGAAGCTGAAGGCTCGTTTGTTTCACAAACCGGGTCGTTGTGGGCCCTGCCCCACCGGACGGAAGAAACCTTCTAGAAGGCGGGTCACAGGCAGCTAGTAGCCCTCCCCCGACAGCACGTGGGGACCTGCTCCGAGAGGGCGGCCTCCCGTCGAGGAAGCGGCAGGCCGGGTCCCGCCCGCGCCCTGTCCTTGCCACGCTGTGGAGCCTCACCGGAGCCCCATCTCGGGGAAACCGGGAGAGCAGGACCCGGACGCGGTTTCCTCTGAGGCCAAATCTCTGCACGTGAGCTCTCGGGGCACAGCCTTGTGTCAAGACCGTCCTCTGCTTCCAGCTCATCCCCTGGCCGGGGTTTCTCTGTCTCCTGGAGTCCTCCCTGGGTCCGGGCTGTCCGTCAGGCCGAGTGACGGAGGCTAGGACCGGCGGGGGTGCCCATGTCTGGTCTGGCTGGTGAGCTCTTCTGTGGGGTTTTAGTCCCTCCTCACAGTCTCGGCTGGTTTGGGCCCAAACTTACAAAAAGTTCAAGCTCTTACGGCGACGGGTCTGTTGTAGGACAGGGTAAAGCAGCGCCCTCTGGGTCAAGCTTCCACAGTCACATCGAATGGGCAGGGGCACGTTGCGCGGTCTCTTTCCTGCAGTCCCACAGACGTGTGCTGTGCTCCAGGCCCTTCAGCCGGTCTCCATCCGGCCAGCAGGGTGGAGTAAGAGCCACTGGGGGACACCATGTGACACAGCCTCCTTTACTCTCCCCAGTTTTCCTCCCAATCCAGCTTGATGAGGGCTTAAGTTCTACCAAGAGAGACTCATTATTTTAGAATAAAGTTTTGATGCCTCTTAATTCTCTTTTCCCCAGAATAAGCCTAACTCAAAAGCATTTAGAACACAGTCCACAGGGTTTCAGAATGTTCGTTAAAGCTTCCAGCAAACACTCATCGGAACTACTCTCTGCCTGGTTCTGTGCTTGGCCTGGTACGCGCTCACACCTGCCACGGCAATACGGGTGTCGGAGGGAAGGAGATCGGCACCACAGCCAGAGAAGAGAAGCGAGAGACCGGGTGTGGACTTTGGGACAGGCAAGTGGCAAGGGGAAGCGGCAAGAGGCGGTCTGGGGGCAAGGCGCGCCGGTGCCGTTTCTGGAGGTAACTTCCACCGCACAGGGAGGACGTGAGCACTTGGCCTGAAGCGCGCAGCGCCGCCCGCCTCTGAGGAAGACTCTCCTGTCTTCTCTGCATCTGGTTTCGAGTCCACCTGCCTGTCTACCAGGTTTCCAGACGGTGATGCACAAGGACCTGCTGAGTAGCTTCTCTGGATGAAAGAAAAAAACAGCAGGACAGAGGAGAAAAACATGTTCTTCCAAAATACAAACTCCTGCCCCGTTTTGGAAAAATGCGACCAGTAGAGACGATCCCAAAGGCATCCGAGAAGATCCAGATGATCTTATGTGACATATTAATGTCCTGAGGTCCGTTATGGCTTGAGAGCAAGCCGAGGTCAGGTGGGGATCTCAG